TTTTAATTTCAATCTATTTTAATGCTCCTTCTAAAAGGCTTTTAGGACTGTTTTGATTTCTTATTATTTCTTTTAAAGGGAAAGTGGTTCATATAGTGCTAGAATCAGTGTTTCTCAACCTTGACAATTTTAAGGCATGTGGACTTCAATTCCCAGAATTCCACAGCCAGCATTGCTGGCTGTGGAATTCTGGGAGTTGAAGTCCACATGCCTTAAAATTGTCAAGGTTGAGAAACACTGTGCTAGATGCAACCATACACAAAAATCTTCTTCAATTTGATAGAAAAGAAGGACGAGGGGGGACATGACAGCAGTCTTCCAATATCTCAAGGGTTGCCCCAAAGAAGAGGGAGTCAAGCTATTCTCCAAAGCGCCTGAAGGCAGGACAAGAAGCAACGAATGGAAACTAACCAAGGAGAGAAGCAACCTGGAACTAAGGAGAAACTTCCTGACAATTAGAACAATTAATCAGTGGAACAACCTGCCTCCAGAAGCAGTGAATGCTCCAACACTGGAAGTCTTTAAGAAAAGACTGGACAGCCATTTGTCTGGGATGGCGTAGGGTTTCCTGCCTGAGCAGGGGGTTGGACTAGATGACCTCCAAGGCCCCTTCCAGCTCTATTCTGATTCAATGATTCATTAACCAACAAGTCCCACACACATAGAGAGCCTCCAATTAGGGAAGCCCAGTTTATATTGTTGGCAGTTGCTTCACGTCGTAATTTATTCTTCCGCAGCCACCATTTCTCTTCCAGCATGCAAGGATTTGATCCAGATGACTCACAAGAGTAGAATATTTTAAACCTGGGTTTAAAATAATCTTGGCACCATTGCTAATGGAAGAACTCTTCTCTAAGGAGGGATCTATCTTTCCCTGCCAGATTCCTAACACACACACACACACAAAAATTTAGTCTCAGACTTGGCAGGAATAGCCAATACTCCAGAAGACAGGCTTAGGATACAGGAGGATCTGGACAGACTTGAACACTGGGCGCTATCTAACAAAATGAAATTCAGTGGTGAAAAAAGTAAGGTTCTACATTTAGGCAAGAAAAACCAAATGTACAGGTACAGTATAGGGGGTACCTTGCTCAATAGTAGTAACTGTGAGAGGGACCTCGGAGTCCTAGTGGACAATCACTTAGATAGGAGCCAGCCGTGTGCTGCAGCTGCCAAAAAGGCCAACACAGTGCTAGGCTGCATTAGCAGAGGGATAGAATCAAGATCATGTGAAGTATTAATACCACTTTACAAGGCCTTGGTAGGGCCACACTTGGAATCCTGCATCCAGTTTTGCTCACCAGGATGTGAAAAAGATGTTGAGACTCTAGAAAGACTCCAGAGAAGAGCAACAAAGATGATTAGGGGACTGGAGGCTAAAACATATAAGGAACAGTTGCTGGAATTTGGTATGTCTAGTTTAATGAAGAGAAGGATGAGGGGGGACATGATAGCATTGTTCCAATATTTGAGGGGCTGCCCCAAAGAAGAGGGAGTCAGGCTATTCTCCAAAGCGCCTGAAGGCAGGACAAGAAGCAACGGGTGGAAACTAACCAAGGAGAGAAGCAACCTAGAACTAAGGAGAAACTTCCTGACAGTGAGAACAATTAACCAGTGGAACCACCTGCCTCCAGAAGCGGTGGATGAGCCAACACTGGAAGTTTTTAAGAAGAAACTGGACAGCCATTTGTCCAAAATGGTATAGGGTTTCCTGCCTGAGCAGGGGGTTGGACTAGATGACCTCCAAGGTCCCTTCCAACTTTATCATTATTATTATTACTAAGGTGTCTCTTGCAATGCTTATGGAAGACAGGTGCCTCTCTACAAGGATGTGAATTTTCCAGGGAAAACTTAGTTCCAATGAAACATTTTCCGTTCGCGATCCAGGCCGTGATTGGCAGTTCATTGGTTCAGAAACCAGCACATTTATCGAAAATGTTCAGGATCTACAGGAGAACAATATCAATCCACTCTTCTTCCCAAGTCTCCAGGTCTTCTTAATTTTGAAATACAGATCGTCCTCAACTTACAACAGTTGTGTTTAGTGACCGTTCGAAGTTACAACAGTTCTGAAAAAAAAGTGACTTAGGACCATTTTCTACACTTCTAACTGTTGTAGCAGCCCCAGGGTCACGTGATCAAAATTCAAATGCTCGGCAACTGGCATGTACTTATGACGGTTGCAGTGTCCCAGGGTCATGTGATTCCCTTTCATGACCTCCTGACAAGAAAAGTCAAAGGGGGGGGAAGCCGAATCCGCTTAACGACCGAAGCTACTAATTTAATAACTGCAGTGATTCACTTAAGAACTGTGGAAGGAAAGATTCACTTAACAAATGGTTCGCTTAGCGACAGAAATTTTGGGTTCCACTGTCGGTGTAAGTCGAGGACTATCTGTATAATTCATGTAATTGGCTTTGGATATCTGCTATTGCCCTTTTGGAATCACCACCAATTATCATCCGATTTTCAGCTCTTTCGTTTTCATTATCATTTTTAATCCCGCTGTCAACGCTGCTAACATCGGATGTTTTTTGCATTGACGACAGATGGAGATGCAACCCTTTTCTTCTCCTTAGGTTTTACTCTTAGAGTTAGAGCTAGAGTTAGATGATGCTGGGGGGAGGAAGGTGCATGAGAGTTTAGCTAGACATAACAATATGGACCTAGTGTGGGAACCAAGGTGACTGAAATAAGAGATGATAAGAATTGGCGGGCTGGAGAACTGGAGGGAAAGCCTGCCTTTCAAGCTAATTGGGGAATGTGATTTATGACTGTTAATTGGAGGAGGGAATTGTGCTTTGATACTATGTGCTCAGGGGAGGAGAATCCAGTTTTTGGCTTTGATTGTGTTAGTGCCAATGCTATGCTACTCAAATAAAGATTCTTTAAGGTAAACAATGTCTCGAAGTTCTTTGAAGAGTTTTATCTGTCGGAACCACGACACACGGCATTTCTCGGCTCGGGAAGATAGTTTTCATTCAGCGGATCATAAGAGGAAAGTTGAGGTGGGGGGGGGGAAATGTAAAAAATCTCCTGCATGAAAGGAAGTCTCCACGGGAATCAGATTTCAGCCTAGGAAGATCTGGGGTGTTTGTAGTTTACTCTGCAGTAACCCTAACTGAAGCTAATTTAGACACCCAGAAAAAATAGTCAAGCCCTGTTCTTATATTATCTGGCACACGATGACAACTCTTAATAAAATTGCTGCGTGCAGTAATAATCACTCCAAATCCCTCAGCCAGAAGCCATGAAATCACTGCGCAGAAAACAAAAAAGGTCAGCACTTAGGTACATCTGGATTAACGATAAGAGCCGGTCACGGTTTTGAAAAGAGAGAAATAAATCTTATTTAACACACACACCCCCAAAAGAAAGAATAAATAACGTCTCAAGACAGTGTTCACACTTTCAGAGATTTCATCTCTGCTGTCCACGCTACAATGGGTACATTGCTTTCCAGGTCTTGCGTTCGAGTCTAGTTAAAAAAGAACCTACCAATTTTGAGATAAATGAGCTCCTGATGCTTCCTGGGAGACATGCAATAATGTAGAAGAGAAGAGAGGATGAAACAAGGAGGGTGGTGGTGTCTACGCCTTCAACCTTCACTCTGCAATCAGAAGGTCCACGTTGTAAACTCCCACAGAGGGATTTACAAGTGCCCTAAGCCCAATTGTACACGCTTGTGGGTAAGATTCAATTATTTTTCAGACAACCTCAGAAACTGTCACATTTTAAGCTGGGCCGCTTCTCAGTCACGCCCACTGCCACATTAATCAGAATGCAAGATACTTTATGTTCAGTATCCCAGCTGCAAACCAACTGTCAATCACTCCTTCTAGCGCTGATGGTGTTACCTAGTTGGGTTATGAAACATCTGGAAGAAAGCCATCAAGTTTAGAGAACACCAAAGACCCCACAATTATCTTCCTCCTCCTCCTCCTCCTCCTCCTCCTCTCCACAAACTCTACTCCCTGTAGCACTGATGACGTTACCTAATTTGGTAATGAAATGTCTACAAGAAAACTACCAAGCTCAGAGAGCACCAAGGACCCTATAGTTCCCCTCCTCCTCCTCCTCCTCCTCTCCTTCTCCTCCTCTCCACAAACCCCACTCCCTGTAGCACTGATGACGTTACCTAGTTTGGTAATGAAATGTCTACAAGAAAACTACCAAGCTCAGAGAGCGCCAAGGACCCCTGAGCTACAAAGATTCTCTTCTATCAGTGTTTTAATTTTCCCCTACATTGGATAATGTCACTCTTAAAATGGAGTAAAGATTCCACAGAGGCTAAGAACAGACTTAACATCTAAATAGGACTAACCAACGCCATGGCCTTTTTGTTTTTCCCCCAATCCATAAAATCCATCCCTCCCTATCTTTGTCTTCCTCTTTTCGTCTCTCTCTCTCTTTTTTTGATGCAATTCTAGAAATTCTGGGAACTCTTTTATACAATCCACCATCCAGCATCCACATGGAAATCTCATCATCCTTATTTTTTTCTGCTGGGAAGAATGCTTCTGTGCAAGAGATGGCTCCTGGTATTAAATAATAGTGGGCTACATTTGAAAGCCTCTCTTGGGAACGCTGTAAAAATATATATATATTCTATCCAGAACGGGAGAATCCCCACCAGATGTTTGTGGGGGTGTTTTTAGAAAACCCACCATGATTGTCCAGCTCCTAAAGAGACAAAAGACCGAACGATGAGGCAGAATTATTTGCTTTGGCTAAGCTTGTTTGACTTGGAGGTCTTAAAACGTTGCCTTTGGCTTGAAGTCAGCTGAGCCTTACCGGCCAAATCTGCATCTGGGAAACTGACTCTTTTTAGCAAAACCGACCACAATCTGCATTTCAGCACATGCCGAGGGGCCACGGAAGCACCTGGTGAAACATTCCCCAAACTTTTTTTAAGATCGGAGGGGGTCCATCCTCAACGTGACAGGATATGTATACCGCGATGAAGTTTTCACGAAAAGAAATAATCTGTTACTTACTCACACAGAAGTGTGCCGTTTTCTAATCCCAGTCGAAAATGTTTATCGCCGAATGTTTTCCCTGTGACCTGCTGTAAAAGAAGAGAGGGGAAATTAATTGGCTGAAGGGGACCAGATTGTTTCTGGATAAATACCATCCCAAATGCAGAGTTTTTGGGCTACACGGCACTATCCAAAGGCGGTGGACCGTCACAGGTCAACCCAACCAGCACAGTGGTGGGTAAAGCACCATTTTAGAGATGACCAAAATAAAATTGTTGGCCGCAGTCCAGGGATCTCCAAACTGCATGGCACTCATCATGGAGTTTTGTATTTTAACTTTCTTTTGGATAAAATAAGAAATAAAAAATAGCAAAAAGAAAGAAAGAAAGAAAGAAAGAAAGAAAGAAAGAAAGAAAGAAAGAAAGAAAGAAAGAAAGAAAGAAAGAAAGGGAGGGAAGGAGGGAGGGAGAGAGAGAAAAAGAGAAAGAAAAAGAAAGAAAGAAAGGAAGGAAGGAAGGAAGGAAGGGAGAGAGAGAGAGAAAGAAAGAAAGAGAGAGAAAGAAAGAGAGAAAGGAAGAAAGGAAGGGAGAGAGAGAGAAAAGGAGAGAGAGAAAGAAAGAAAGAAAGAAAGAAAGAAAGGAAGGAAGGAAGGAAGGAAGGAAGGGAGAGAGAGAGAGAGAGAGAGAAAGAGAGAAAGAAAGAAAGAAAGAAAGAAAGAAAGAAAGAAAGAAAGAAAGAAAGAAAGAAAGAAAGACTTGTGGACTTCAACTCCCAGAATTCCTCAGCCAGCCAGATGTCTGTCTGTCTCTTCTTTCTTTCTTTCTTTCTTTCTTTCTTTCTTTCTTTCTTTCTTTCTTTCTTTCTTTCTTTCTTTCTTTCTTTCTTTCTTTTTCTTGGTCTCTCTCTCTCTCTCTTCCTTCCTTCCTTCCTCCTTCCTTCCTTCCCTCCTTCCTTTCCTCCCTTCTTCCCTTCCTTCCTTCCTTCTTTCCTTCTTCTCCATTCGTTTGTTCTTCCTTCCTTCCCTCCCTCCCTCCCTTTCTCTCTCTCTCTCTGACATTTTATAGTGCCCAGGCCACCTTTGAAATGTCTAGAAAACTCACTCCTTTATTTGAATTACCGAAAGAAAAAATATGTATATTGTTTAAACAAGTCCTACTGTCTTCTCCAATCACCCTCCAACATCAAACCCCAAACGTAGGAAAAACAATCAACAATTATTTATAGATTGCCTTTTAAGGATCTCTTTTAAGTGATTTTAAATATGTTTGTTGGGCTCATATTTTGAGTGGGGGGGGGATAAAGGGGAGGAATTTCCTCTATGTAAATTTTAAGTTTTTTTTTTTAAAACTGTTTTAAACTATTTAAACGTCTTTAAAGGAGGTTTTCGGTCCAGACTAAAGGTGACGCAAAAGGAATTGATATACTGTTAAAAATGCCAGATCCATGCCAAAAACAAGCTGTGGCATGACCACAACACAAAGCACGCCACACAACTGTTTTCAGTTCATGACAGGGTCTTACCAGGTCCCAGGTGTCAGAGCAGTTTATAGTAAGAACAGGAAAAAGATACGAGGGAGGGGGAAGACTGGGAGTAAATGGGCTTGTCAAGGTTATAAATACAGGAAATGCAAAGAAATCCATTCTTTTCCAGCCCAGTCAAGGTGTTGGAAGTTGGTCTGCTTCCGACTTCCATCACCAAAGCTTAATGAGGGTCTGGCTAGCCTCTTCAAGTGATTATTTGCTTTTTGAAAACAAGACGAATGGCAAGCAAGGAAGGAAGTTTATTTCCACCCTTTGTCTGGGGTCGCCTGAAGTGGAACACCGCCTGCAAAATATGATTTGTTTAAAATCAGACAGGGCAATGTAAACGGTCCACTCAAACCGTCACCGTGTCGCTCTGTTTAGAAACAAATTGACGGATTTAGGCCTCAGGCAAAAGCAGACTTTTCTTTGAGAAGGCCACGAAAAACGCCAGCAGGACATTCTCTGAAGGTTGAGCTGTGGCAAATGGACGATTATTATTATTATTATTTTTAATTGGCTTGAGATATTTCGCTGCCCATCCGAGCAGCCTCTACAGTTGGAGCAAATTGGTTGGGGAGAGACAATTTTTAGACTGAGACCACACCTGGAAGAATAAGACCACACCTGGAGTACTGCAACCAGTTTTGGTCACCATGCTACGAAGAAGATGTTGAGACCTTGGAAAAAGTGCAGAGAAGAGCAGCTAAGGTGATCCAAGGCCTGGAGACTAAAACATGCACAGAATGGCTGCAGGACTTGGGTTTGGCTAGTCTAAAGAAAAGAAGAAATAAGGGAGACATGATAGCAGTGTCCCAGTATCTGAGGGGCTGCCAGAAAGAAGAGGGGGGTCAAACTATTCTCCAAAGCACCAGAGGAAAGGACGAGAAACAATGGTTGGAAACTGACCAAAGAGAGATGCAGCCTGGATTTAAGGAGAAACAGTGAGGACAATCAACCAGTGGAACAGCTTCAGAAATTGTGGGCGCTCCATCACTCGAGATTTTTAAGAAGAAGCTAGAAAGTCACTTGTCTGAAATGGTATATAGGTTCTCCTGCTTGAGGAGGGGGCTGGACTATAAGACCTCCAGGGTCCTTCCATATTCTATTCTATTCTATTCTATTCTATTCTATTCTATTCTATTCTATTCTATTCTGCTCTGCTCTACTCTACTCTACTCTACTCTACTCTATTCTTCATTTCTCTATTCTATTCTGTTCTGTTGTGTTCTTCGCCGCCCGATCTACGGAACTTGTTTTCAAGACATACGTGCCGACCTACAATTAAAGCAGGCCAACATACAATTCATTCATTCATTAAACAAACAAATTACCCGTGCAAAATGGGTAATTAAGAGGGCAGGTCCACACTGAACATCACCATTTTGCCCGTTTTAAGATACAGCTAGTTCTTGAGTTCCATTAATTCATTGAGTGGCTGTCTGAAGTTACAACGGAATTGAAAAAACGGACTCATGACCATTTTTCACACTTACAATGTGCTGCAGCACCCCCATAATCGAAAATCGGACCCTTGGCAAACCGCCTCCTATTTATGACGGTCGCAAGATCCCCAGTTGAGGACTACTGTAATTGTGGCTGCCATCCAAGCTTATAGCAGCACATTCTCAGTGTCTGTGTTCCCTCCATGTTTTCAAAACAAGAATCCTTTGCGCTTTACTTTCTATATACCCCTCTTCCTTCTCGGTGGATAAATGAGTTTAAAAACCTACCTAGGATTTATTTGTAAGCGAGCTTTTTGGTCCAAGCTACTCAAACTCTCGCAAGAGGTAGCAGATTAAATTCTCGTCCTGTTCCGACAGATTTGATTTCTTGTTTATAGTGTGAGGATATAAGAATTGGCCACATTTAGACTGCAATGCTATACTTGTTCTCTGCTGAGAGCTGAGCTGGTGCAGGAGGATATAAATGCAATTAAAAATAAATAAACAAATTACCAGAAAATAAGAATATTGTATTGTATTACTGATTAGTTGATGTAAGATGGGGAGAATTCAAATAGATAAGACGTGTATCCTGAACATTAGATCTTGTGATGAATGGTGATAAAGGGAATTGGGGTTATTTAAAACTTGGAAATTATAAATATCAAACATTAGATATAAATATTAATGGGAAACTAAACATTGGGAAAAATTAATCAGGACATTGATTGTCTAAAAAGACTGAATATTAAAACAACTAGGATATGTATAAACTAAAAATTATTGATAAATGTAAGAAAGTTGTTTTTTATTTAATCGACATAATAAGAATTGTATTAATTTAAATATGAGACAGTAAATACTAACGGGAAAAGAGAGGAAACATTTAATGTAATAGTTTGAGATCTGTACTAAAGATATTTGTATGTTATTGAATTATTGACCAACTCAGCCGCCACGTTGCTTTTCAAATATTTAAATGTAAAACTAGAAAACCAATAACATTTTCTTAAAAAAAAAACAAATAAAAATAAATAAACAAGCCAGCCAACAAACTTCAAGCTTGACATGTTTCAGGGCAATCAACTTTCTAAACCCATCTCTCATATCCCTGAAAGACATAAGGTGTCCTTTCATCACAAAATAAACTGCCTATAATTTCGCTTTATTATATACAATTATTTTACTCTAAGAGATGATGAACACTATTAGCTGCAAATCTGAATGTAACTTCCTACTGGGTCAGCCTGAGCTAAGTGGCTGGAACTTATTTCTGTGTAAACATGGATGCTCAGGAAACAGGGGCTAAAATTACAACTTAAATCCCTTAATTTATACGAAGGGAGGGGAAAAAATACTTAAGAGCTAAAACGTTTCCTTTGTATTCTATTTCCAAGCCTTGAGCCAGCAGGCGCACACTGATATTTACTCCAGTGCTAATAAAGAAAAATTATAGTGTGGTCATTTCAAAGCCCCAGATATCTCTTTAAAGTTTGTTTTTATGTCAGAGAGTTGAAAGGCTGGCAAAAATAAAAGCAAGTTGGGATTGATTAATTGCACTTCTGAATCTGCTTTACTGTAGCCAAAAGCTGAGCTTCAAATGCAGATCACGTCCGTTGTGATCTCCCATCCTTCAGACAGGACTGTCTCCGTTCAATTTAATCAGGAAATGTTGACCTGAGTTTCCCATGTCACTTCATTCTTATTGATTTGTTTTTCTTATTAAGAAAATTTATGGGGCTGCCCAACTCATTCAAGGTGACTCTGGGTAGCTTTAGAGCAGCGGTTCTCACCTGTGGGTCGGGACCCCATTTGGGGTCGAACGACCATTTCACGGGGGTCGCCAAACAACGCAGTCCGTCATTTTTTTCCCCCTTTTCCTTAGCTGTGCTACTCCCTTTTATTCTATTGGCTTTTGAAAGCCAATAGAAGAGACTCTCTTGAATAGAGTCTAATTCTATTGGCTTTCAAAAGCCAATAAGAATTGTCCAGGCTGTCTCTGCCCTGCTGAGCCCGCCAAAAGTCCCATTCTGCAAACGGTGTTGCACCAGTTGAGTAGTCCTCGACTTACGACCGGTTGAGTAGTCCTCGACTTACGACCGGTTGGGGTCGCGCCATTAAAA